ATGGGCTTTATTTTGAACAATATAGAAGAAAACAGTTAGAAACGTAAAGGCCGAGAGAACAAAGGTGTTGTAAACACTCAGATGACGGATCATTGTTTGACCATTCCAGAAAACGAACGAAGACAGATGTAGCTAGTGCGAGAGCTTTTAATGTCGTCGCATTCTGTTTAATTGTTCGAAGATTTCGTTGTCATATGAAATAGAATCGTTTGTGCATGTTTCGTTAACAACCTTAACTTTCACATAAAGTGGGTGCCCATACTATCTAGGTTGTCAAAATTGGTAACTTAATTATCTGGCTTGGAGTTTAATGAACTTCCTAAAATATTTCAGTGAGCCTAACTTCTCAGGTGTTTGGGATATGTTTACGGGTTATTAGCCAAATATAGGAAAAAACAGAATTTCTTCCTATGTTATTTTGACAATGACTAGCGACCCCGTTTTTCGGTTAGTGTGCTGGGTATTGATTTATAAGACTGTAAATCATACCAGAATCTCCCAACTTAATATGCATAGAACAATGGAGATCATTCTGAAATTATCCGAGTGTACATACTGAATTCATTCATCATTCAAAGACAAAGTGTAGTATGTTATTACTCTGGTTTAGTGCTTGGGGATTTTGTAGGAAAATTCCTAATCATCATGCTTGTAAATGTATGATATTTGGGCGCTGCATTGCAAATGTTGTTTTACACTTGATGATATATTCCAAGCTGCATTACACTATGTTGTATTAGGCGTGTACTATTTCCTAAGTCGTTCTTGTGTGTCTCAAAACCTTTTTAAAGTAGTTTAATAGTATTTTGTACAGCTTCCTCCATAATATTTCAGGCATTCAGTTGAATGACTTATCAATGAATTTATTTACAACTTCTGAGTTTACATGTTGCCTATTCACTGCTTGTATTGTTGAACAAAATTGTTTAGCGAATTAGAATTTGTCAAAAATAGGATGACATTAGAGGAAAAACAATGTTATTTTCGCCTTTAAGTTATCTTAACAGCGAAATCTAACTCGTTTTCTTAATAATTATGGACAGTTCCAACGGTAGTATAAAATATTTTTATGTTACATCATGCAGTCAAAATTCGTATAGCGAGATGTACTTAAAGTACGTAATAGGTGTTCAGCTTCTTGTATTATTCGTCTCATCGCTTTAAAAACATTTTATCTGTTTAAGTTCGTCGAAATTATCACTGAAGTGTAAATTTTTATAGTGCACTTGAATTACCGGTGAACTGCGTCTTTTATGATAAGCGAAATGGCCGTGAATTCAATTGCTTTCCCGTGGCTCTCCATATCCGTTCAGAATTTCCCCCTCCAAAAACAATAGAGTAACGTGCCGCTTTCAAACAGCCGCAGCTTCAAATTTTTATGTCCACGTTAAACACAGTTATTATTGTTGCTACACAGCGTTACAACGGCAGTAGTGTATGTACCAGACAAGACACGTTTTTTACTTACTTACTGTTTACCTGTACATGTAACAACACTTCCCTCAGTAGTTTTTAGTTTTCTAAAATACATTTACTGTCGAAATCGTTTCCGGACAAACGTTGCGAAAGAGCTGTCAGAATGTAACTATTCGTGTTGTTTCTTCACCTATTTTGCTAAACTCTCAACAATGACGTTAATGATATCTTTTCCTTCGACCAATATCTGCCTAACTTCCGAATACGGAGCTCTATCCACTACATCCAAGGTTTTGTTCTCTTCTGTTTTTGAAGCACGGTATGTCGTTTTAATTGTAACTTAAAAACCCCAAATGACAATAGAACCAAACTCTAATTCAGGCATCAAAGTGTATTCGCAAATTATAAATAACCGACCCAAATACCGTTCTATTAAAAATTATATTAATTACAAAACAAACGTCTAGGTATTTCGCTTTCGGGAGCAAACCCCTCCAAATACGAAACCAAAGAAAATGCGATTCAAAATGTCATTTTCATTCTTGATCACAAATTGATTGTCGCTCCAACTCAAATATTAAACACATGAGTATTACTAAGATTATTCTGATATATAAAAATTCATCCCGTGTTCACATATTCAATGTCCCCTATAACAAAACAACCTAAATGAGCAACTTGTTAGACTGCAACCTGCAGCATTTATAACATTATGATCCAGCCTTTAAGCTGGCATGCCCCATGTAACATATAGTTATCTGTGAATTTATTATCATTGACAAATCAGCCTACTAACGAAGTACGCAACAGTACGTGTGCCTGAGAATTAGCCGTACTATTAAGTATTTAATTCAATGTCACTTAGATTCATACTATTTTTTATTGCTGAGATTGCTTACTTAAAATGTGTCAGACAACTCTATAAAGGAAAATAATCCAGACAAGTTTCATTACTATGCAGGATGACCTACTAATTCAATGTAAAGTGTTAAAATCACATATCTATTTTTGGCAATTAACTTTTATCTGATCCACTTATCTTTTTACATGGGCTTATTTTCTATGAGTCCCGAAAATTTTGTATTTCACTCAGTCCATTTTCCACATCAACTTTACGTTGTTTGTGAGTGACTCAGTGAAGCAGCATTTCAGCTTAATGGAGCAGACCTTGGTTTGTTGAATCGTCTTCTGCCTTCAGATTAAATACTTGAAGTCCGATCGTTATACTGTCACAACTTGTGTAACGTGACTGACTTGTTTTGATACACAGAGACCAAAACGTACTACGATTGTTGAAGATGCTTATTGTTGTTGGCCAATAACTATTTTCATGATTAATTCATTTCTAATGTAATTACTATCGAACAATTGAAATGCTCACTAGTAACACAAAATGAATTGCCCTGTCCACCTCTTTAAAACAGAATATTACATCTTTTTTAGTCGGGACATCATATCTTATTTAGCAGGTAATCGTCTGTTGTTTTTAACGAATCTTGCCACGAAATATTTGGCTGTTGAACTTGTCTAGATTTTGCTGTAATTCGAGTGTGCATTTATAATTTATTTGTCCCTGTACCTTTCTCAACAGATAGTGCATATTCCATACCATTTCGCATATATTTCCACTTTAATATACGAAATACGTTGGCAATTTTCGTCTTTTTATACGTTACATCTCAGACGCCAGTCGCTGAAAAAATTAGTAGAACAGATTTACTTAATTTCCGTGGTGTTGGTTTAGGGGAAGCGTGATATCTCTTCAACAACACGTTAGCTTAACAGGCATGCAACTTTAGTTAACTCCATGTGAGATCAAGACTGGTATTCAATTAATGCGAGCTTCTTACATTGATAATAATCTGGTTCTAGGAAAACACTTCCTAACACTACAGTTTTTCACCTAATCAGATTATTTGAACTTATCTAAAACCCTGTCTTTCACAATCACTTTTTGTGATTATTATGTGATCAGCAGCCAGTTTGATAGGTGGCTTGAGCACTCCCCAATATAACTGATCGAACAGAGGAAAATAAAGCAAGAGTTTCTAAGTGTCCGTGAGCTTTCAAGTATGTGGTTAACGTCATTTATCGCAAAATCGAAAATCCAGTGAATTGTGCTACTAATAATTGCGTTTGTTACAAACAGACAACCTTTAAAACTGAATTCAAAAGTGTTGATGCCCATGTACAGACTGATATCATAAGTCAGTTGAAGCTCGACCACCATTGAAAACCTGGAAGCATTGGACGGCCGTTTCGTCCTAGTATGGGACTCAGTGCGCATCCATGATCCCGCACCACGCGGGACTCGAACTCAGGACCTACTGACTTCGCGCGCGAGCACTTAACAATTAGACCAATGAGCCAGCATCCAACGGTGTTAATGTCTAACTTCACCCAGTGCTGTCTCAGAGGCAGCGAAACGTATGCACAGACAATTCTTGCAGTATACTAGCTCTTTGGCTCAAAGCATATCTTTTCTCACCACTGTACTGTATTTAAAGGGGATTCAGCTCTCACTTACGGGTTTTATGTTTGAAATTATTGCGACTACAATGTTTCCTAGTTCGCAGAATTGGTAGTCTAGACCAAAAAATTGTGGTAAGAGACACAAATATGTGACCGACCACTCATATGGATGGTGGAAACAAAGCCTATGTTGACCAGTCAGTTCAAAAATCCGCCGTATACTTCGTTATCAAGCCATAAGTACTAATTATATAGCCAATAAAGTCAAGTTCGAAACCAATATCTAATGTCATTGTTGCAAGCTTTTGGAAAGTATTTGAGTTTAGAGGCCCTGAACAGGTAACGGGTTTAGTTAAGCAAATTTTCCCTGGAAAATAGCCTAAAGATTCCAAAGATCAGGGTAGCTGTGTTTTTTAAGTTTTTAATAGTGGACTACTATCCGTTCTAGTAAAGGTCTGGCTGCCTGTATGCAGTAATTTGTTTGGATAATTGTCAAAAGAGAATGTCAGCTCAAATAGGGATTTTGGGTATTTCATGTGTATAAAAAATGTTCCGGATCAACCTGATGAAAGGAAAGTGCCAGCAATTTGATTTATAAATTTACAGGTACAACTCTTTGTTTTAATAAGACATTTTGGCTTACTAACGCTAACCAACTAGGCGGGTTCTGTGCGTTTTGGAGGTGTACGCACGTTTGAATTTGTGGTAGTTATGTAGTTGCTTAACACAGTCACTGAATATTTGATTCTTGCTTCCAGTTGTACAAAATCTGCCTGAAGGGGCTTGTTACCATGAGCTTTTTCCTTCGATATTTTAAAAACTAATTGTTCACGGCATTCTACAAGCTTTGTAAAATCTAAAGTTGCTTTTTATATCATATATTTATATTGTTCGTATAAAATATTCATCGCCATTAAGATGGCTTTTAATAATTGCAAGGCATCCATAGTCATAATTTGTGAATGAAGTATGAAAATCAATTGACATTTAGTTCTTTCTGAGTTTTTCATGTTGTTTACTTTTCGCATTGTATAACCTCCCGATTATACATGTGCGACATTTTACGTAAAAAGATGCGTAGCGGGAAAGTGGAAATATTCATATTTTTTTCAATGCACTTTTCAACTGTCCCGTGTTTCGTATGTGTAACATCGACAATCGATTTGCGAATAATCTGTTGGGTATCTCACGAAAGTCAAAGTAGATTCTTTTATTGATAAGACCTTTGGAAGATTGATCTGTGCTGTAGTTTGATGCATATAGACAATCTCCAAAGTACTTGTTGACTTCTATCCTTCGGCCCTGTCAAGTTTGCTGGACGGATATTCATTCAAGTTTTTGACTCTAATTGATCAAAATACATGTGCGCCGCTAAATCATATTTGCAATAACATGGATTACCATTCTTTTTTGGTCCTCACTATATAGTTAATAACTCGTTATGAAACTAGAAGCGGCATGATTGCATGTCGTATTTTGTTTCGTAGTCGTCCTCGGTTAAATTCTACCAAGTAGGTAGTCGTTTATCTATAGAATTTGGCTGCCTCAATATGATTTCTGTGTGTCTGCATAACCTTCGGACTAGAAACAACTATTAGGTGCTGTCAAGAGCAAGAAGCTACTGGTTTCCGCAGAATAGCCTATATAAAAAATAATCTTCCACCACAAGATTGGTCATAAGGTTTATTATTTATTTATTTGAACACATACATATTGGTACAAGAATGCGCCAAATATATATGCGCCACACAAAACAATGAGAATTTAGAGAGAAGGAAAAGGAAAAAAAGTATGGGGGGTTAAAAAAAAGAACAATAAGGAAGAGATTGGTGTAAGGTAGTGTAATAATAATAGTGGTAATAATGGGGGAACAGAAAGGTACAGTCAGAAGAAACCCTTCAAATAGGAAAGATACAACCATTTTTTTAATGAAGAAAGCAAAAGAAGGTTACAGCAGGATCGCCACTGGCTTCTATACTGAGCCATATCTGATAACTTCTCTAGCCACTGTGTTGCGCTATCTCTCGGACCCCAGCCAGTGAGTTGTGAAGGACCAACACAAGCCATGATCAACGATAAACGATCTACGGTCATAAAGTGGATATGTCTAGCTATCATCTGTCCCTTTTAGTCCAAATCTTTTAGCTAATTGTAGTGAAATACAAAAGTACTTAGTTTTATGTACTCCTGTCCTTAGAAATTCACTGTTGATCGCATGGACAGGAGAATTTGAGTAGGGGTATGTCTGAATAATCTTCATTTCGTGAAGTTTCCATCGTAATGTTGGTAAATCTGTGAAATATCACCAAGTATGTTTCAGATTTCACGTGTTAATTGTCTTGAAAATGGATCTGAGATGGATTTGAAAGTCCGCTTGCATCATGAAGGATTCTGGAGGTATGCTTATGATTGGTCCTGTCATTGATGAGATCTTTTATTAGTTTTCTTAAAATTAGATTGCTGTTTGTGAGAGGTCGTCTGGAAGTTTTGCTTTGTTTATTCGTTTGTATGATGCACAAAATCTGTTTGTACTAACTTGGTGTCGAACCTGAAGTACATGAAGTGGGATCCAGTCAACTGTATTATCAGATTTCCACTTATTATTTTAAATCATTGTTATAAGAACTTGGAAATCTTGCGGTTGATTTAACTGTGACCAATCTGTGGAACTAATCTAAATAGTATGAGAAAGTAAAGATCATTCACGAAAACTAAATTCTCAACACAAAATCCCTAGTATGCGGATATCAAGTGACCAAAAAACTGGCTGTTTTTATATAGCGGAATATCACATTTATCTAGAGAATGTCGTACGTATAAGTTTGACTAAACACCACTTGAAACAATTGTATGGCATGGATTTCCTATGTTATAAGAGTCTGATCGATGCCGACTTTTATCTAAATTTCCTGTTTGGTTTTTCCTTTCCGTTAATTGTACAACTTTTTCCCACATTCTTCCTGTGCCTTGAAATTATTTGGTAATTTGAAACAATAAATTGCGTTGCTTAATATGTCTCCTTACAGATCAAATAACTAATTTTATGAGTCTAACATTCTTAAAAGTTGGTTAATCCAATACTTGTTGTTTGAACACTTGTTCATATTATTCGAGTCTCTTAAGTTATAGATGTTACACGTTTATGCTAAGCTAGAAATAGTTGAACATGTGGTTTTTTTCCAGAGAATTCATTAATCAGTTTGGTTCATATTCGATCTAAACGTAATGCTGAATTTTAGGAACCAAGTTCAAGACAAAATTTGGGTGTGTATTAGCACTTTACATTTCGTAATCATATCTTACTTTTTGATGTTTCTGTTGCAAATAATATTACTGTGATTTAGGCGTTTGTGAAGTCGCAAGTTCAAACTCTGCTCCACCTACTTCAATTTGGGCAGCTGGGTGGTATCCCTAGCTCTCTTACTTGAGGTGTCTTGTACTTGAGGAGGCAAATCTGTATGGAGTAGAGTCTGTGATAGTGATAATAAATTAAATCGTGATTGTGAATAATACAATGGTAATAGATTGTTTCAGTGTCTGTATTTTTTTAGTGTAAAGTATTGCTGTCCCACTATTGACCAATTAATATGCACTAAACTGCTGCATTTCGGTTGCTTTCGTTTCAGCCAGTCTTATGTGTTCGAGATGAATGCTCCAAAAATCATGTATCATTGACAGGTTTCGATGCAGATTGTTATTTAATATATCAAGTTTACATTCTTTAAATATTCACTGTTCGTCACCATCAAGCTTATAACTTTTACAATCAATTGAATAATTTGCCGTTTAATATTATGGTTTTTTGGCTGACCACACCATGAAATCTTGTTAAGGAAACAATTCCTGTTGAAGTTCGTCCTTGGAAGGCAAATATCACTGATCCCGTATGTGTAGCTTTTTTTGTATGCTTTTGGTTTATTTCCTTTCATGACTAATTGCTGTTTTAAAATTGAATAGTTTACTTAAGACGACTTGATGTGTATAATGAATTCGCTATTCTAACCACTATAGCTGGGTACGAAGGAAGTTTTATATTTACATCAATTTTTGCATATTCATCAGTAACGTAATCAGCTCTACTAAACGCTGTTATTGAACATATGTATTTTTCTGTTATAATCAAGTAATATATAAGTTGGTTGTACTAATCACCAGAAATTTGTGTTCCATGTTTTCTTACGGCAGGAGACGGTCATGGTGATTGAGCGGCTAATGAAGAAAATGGTCGTTAATCCTGTACCTAAAAAAGCTTTTAAACCTACCACAGCATTATCTATACCCAGACATCCTATGCTCACATTTGGTGTATCACTTGAAGATGTTATAGAACGCGACAAGACTGAAATTCCGATCGTTATTTCTGATATATTTAACTTCTTATTAGATAAAGGCGGTTTACAATCTGAAGGCATCTTTCGTGTAAATGGTAATTCACGAACAGTTGAGATATTGCGTGCCATTGTCGATGAAAACGGAAGTTATTGGCATTTAGGGGAATTTTCAAGTATAGCTGGAGATTTGGATCGTTCAGTTGACGTTTTCTCGGTTGCTAGTCTTCTTAAGTTGTATCTAAGGGAATTGCCAGAAGGATTAATTCCAGAAAATATCACTGCATTATTTTTGAAAGTAAGTAAATATTATGTGCAGTAACCACGTTTCTTTTTGTATACTAATTATATAAAAATGTGAGCTTTCTTGTTTTACTTATAACTTGGAATATTCTAACCTTATAATTCAATGTTACTTTAAGTCAGGAAGCTGCGATTATTCATAGCCTAAAAAATTGGTGTGTTATACAAGGAATCCTTTATCTTAACTTGTACTTATGACTGCCGAAAATGTATGCATTATGTCTTAAGTAGAAACTTCATAAAGCAATTTTAATTAGTTTGTAACTTTGTCATAATCTGGAGTAAACATACAACTGCTGGTCTATGTACTTATCGCAGGTGCATGTTTTCGTCGTAAAAGAAATGTACTGGAGTGGTTAAGTTTAAGTTAATTTTAATTATCCTCTCAAAATGATGGTTATTGTACTCTGATCCACGTTTCACAGATATTAAGTGTAAAATGATATAATTGCAGTTTTTGTCCAGGATAAACGAATTATTCGGTCAGTTAGTTAAGTCGGATCGAATTGGTTGGAATATGCATTATATTTCTATGGAGCTTCAACTTATTAGTTTTATTTCACAAATTTGACTCAATCTATTACTGGTGGAGACTTGTCTTTTTCCACCGATATTTCGACAATTATACTAGCAGTTGTGAAATAGATGTAGCCTGCAGTCCAATGTACGCAGGTGAATTTTAGTTTTTTTCTTTAGGTCTTGAGTTTTGAAGTTACTTCATACATTTTATTGCGCGAACTCATTCTTCTCAAATCATATTGTCTATCACTAATTTTTTCTACTACATTTTATTGCGCGAACTCATTCTTCTCAAATCATATTGTCTATCACTAATTTTTTCTACTACCAGTAGTACCATTACTACTTTACTCTGAAATATTTTTAATTTCATCTTTCTTTGCTGTGGTGTGGTAACTTGAACCGATATGCGTACGTGCCATGTTGTGCATTGAGTATGATTTCGTGATAAATCTGTTCGCCACTACTGAATTTGATTATGAGCTGATTTATTTTTTCAGTGAACAGTTTGGTTTTTTCTCCAAAAATAATATTGCTTACAGAGTTTTCTTTCGCTTTCATCGTCTTTATACATAATTGGTTTCATGTGTTGTCTAACAACGTTAATTATACACATACCAAATATCAGTTTAACGATATAATTATTTGTTTTTCTCCATCGATGTTCTGGTTTCGTAGCAATTTTAGATTTTTATTGTTTGTTTTGTTTGTTTATAATGCATTACATTTTTTATAAACCGAAAAGAGATTATTATTTAATTTATGCATTATTATCATTGAACTCGTTTACTTGGGTACAGATTAGTGCACTTGGCTTTGAACTACGTTGTAAGTGTAAGCTGGCGATACTAACCACTTCTCTAAACCAAACTGGTGAGGGATTCGAATCCGCTGCTTGATTCGTAACAGTGGAATGTTTTAGCCACTGAACCACGACTTCACCCACTGTGTCGTAGCTCAAGTTAATTTTGTTCCCTTAGAGTGAATAATGAAATACCTGATGTATTCAATTACATACATCACACTACGTAATGGTATAGAAAAGAAAAGGAGTCAACTGAAAGTTAAAAGAATCAAGATATGTGTTTCTAAAATTTCCAAATATTTTTGCTTTAGCGTTAATAATAATAATAATAATGATAATAATAATAATAATAATTTAAAAACGAAGAATATTTGAGCGAACAATTGTTTTCAATAACTTCATCATCAGGCTCTACAGTTATAAGTCCATAATTATAATATTTTACAAAGGCCAAGAATAAGGCATGTATTAATGAATTTGACAATGTTATGTGTTAAAAATGGTGAACGTTTGCATCTGTTACGATATATATATACTTCAAAAAATTGTAATATTTGCAAATTAGAAAGGTCATTCAATAAAGGTCAGTAAATTGTTCAGTCACAATAAGATAATATAATAGTACTATTGCAAAATTGAAAATAATTTTGTCAACTGAGATAATAATAATAATAATGTTGTGTGAATATAATATGTAATAAGGGGGGTGCTATCAAGGTAATTACGGTCAACAAATTGGGAATGATGGATATGAAGATTAAGATATAGATAATGACAAATAATGGTAATAAGGAAAATAAATAAAAATGAAGGAAGGAAGGGGTAAGAGGTTTATAATATTCAGTCTAGGTATTTGGTGATCTAGTCGTAGGCCAGGGTAAACATAGAGGCTGGATATATTTTTTCTGGATGCATAAGTTAGGTCTTCTGGAGTTGATCCAGATGGCTTCGGCTGTGTAAAGCAGTCGTAATCTAGCTCCTTGAGGTAGATATTTTGGAACTTGATATAAAACAGAGAAAGCTTCCTCTATTTTAATATGATGTTCACTATCTACCAAGTGAGAAAGAATGATGCTGTTAATCGATTTGGTGACTCCCGTTCCCAACCATGCTGGTACATGTTCACGAACACGCAAGGATAAATAATAATTTAACTGACTAATTAATTACTGACGAATGTATTCATCTTTGAATCACCTTTTGTATTTCTTAAGGTTGGTAAAATACTAATACCTGGTTAACTAAATCAAAGTAGTGTCAAACCAATAGATGTTTAAACCATTCTTTAAACACATTTGGTTACGCAATAGTATGATACTGATGACATTAACCGTAAAAATGACTCTGTGAAAAGGCTAATTTTGATTTTGTTCATTATTATTCTTATTAATCTATTCTAATTTGCCTCGCTTTTAATCCACACGGTAGGGTTATTATAATTACTAATATTATCGAAATGCTCTCACATGGCCACGCGTATATAGCCTCTGTCAGGGAAGTCCTACTCACTGCCTTCTCGTGGCGGGGGTGTTGTTTACGAAAATGAGAGGACGAAAAGCGAATGTCCAGCGCTTTAACCGGATTCCAAATCAATGGTGCACATGGGCTCCAGTATCCTGCGGGAACAAATGGCGTATGAACCAATTGTTGGTCACCGGCTTCCATGGGACTGCATCTCCTTACGATGCATCACTGCCTTGTGGATCAGACCTTCAGGTCGAAGGCTCGGGGTCTGGTCCCCTAAGAAAACCACCTGCTTCGGTTTGGGCACCCGGTCAGTATCACGGCCCTCACACATATCGAATGAGATTTGTGTGGCGCATGTGTATTTGGTGCCTCTTTGTACCAATATCTATGTGTTGAAATAAATAATACATGTAATTATACACCGACTACCTCTACGATGATAGCTGGTATAGTATTAGGTCGGAAAAAAGCTAAGGAGGGTCAAGCTAATACATGGTATCAATTCGTGAAGGCTGAACCGTATAGGCGGGTGCAGACTATTTGGTTGTCATGTCAAAATGTTTTCTTTCAACAAAGCAATGTTGTTTACATACTCTAAAATCGGTTATTTTAGTTTTTCTATTAACTTCACTCAATTTTACAAGTAATTGGATGTTTAAATGCATTATAAATCATCAACTGCAAATGGCATATCAGCTAATGTAACTGTTGCATAACTAAATAAATAATATATTTGTAATACCCCAATGAGTAGAATATTAGATTTTCTGCCGTTTCGTGACTTAGTGTAAGTCACTTCTTCAGAGAATAAATAACCAAATTAAAATTAATCCAAGTTTAATTTGGTTATTTATTCTCTGAAGAAGTGACTTACAATAAGTCACGAAACGTCAGAAAATCTAATTTTTGTACTCATTAGGATATTCCAAATACATTATTTATTTATAATAATCTACCCAATGCTCAATTTATTCGAAGTTATCAAATCAAACCTTGGTAATGTTACATAACTGTTCAATATCTCTTTGAAATGTATCAGTATAACTAATTTAGCACATGATCATGTTTTTTTGTCTATACATTTTTCGTCTACTACAATCTATTGCTATATAGATTTCGCCTGAGAAAAATGTCATAATTTTAGTTATGTGCTGAGTCTTTGTGTCAGTTTGTGTTCTCTAGTTTAAAGTGTGATAGCCTAACGGTTAAGTATATATAATTTCGAATTGTTGATTTATGGCTCCGAATTCGGATCTAATAAGTTTAATTTAAAGTCTGACAGTCTGGTTAGATCTCACATACAAGTGTAGCTCAAAGGTACTTGTACGTGAGTACGGAATAGGATATTAATACATATTACCTTGCTGTTGTAATCTATTTGTTTGACAGACGTTTTAAAGCGAAGAATTTAGTTACAGACTGTAAAATATTTTTATCTATCATTGTGGAGTAGGTGTATACACTCTTTGTCTTCCCCTATACCGTGAGATTAAAATTACCTTATGCCTACCTTTCTATCAACTAATTCTTTTTTCCTGTATTGTATCCTTTTATGCAATCTTTCTTTTATGTATTACTACCATTGAAGTGACTACTTCTGTACGTTTTTTGTGCTAATGAGGTGCGGCAACTTGGACCGATGCATATATGTGCCTGGTTCTACGTTGTAGCTGAATGACTGAGTGATTACTTCACTCTATTTTAAATTTTAGAGTACTTATTAGCAATTGTGTACAAAACTTTATTGAGAAAAACACTAATTATATAAAGTCTTGTCTAAAGAATCTAGCAACACCTAGATAGAATTACCATTGTGATCAGTAATCGTAGATTGTTAATTTCCTCATTTTTTTACACATATCAACGTACAGTAGAATCAAGTTATGTGAAATTTTTCTTTGAAGTGGAGGTCTTCTTTCCAAAATTGACTATCAATTCCTAAATGAATAATAAAAATATAACAAATTATGCATTTTGGCTGTTTTTCAAGACTCCCTGAATTCTCATGTTCACTTTATTGAGTGATAGTACTCTTTCAAATATTGGTTTCAAAAAAATACACAAAGTAAAATTAGCAGTATGTATCAGAAATCTAGATTCAATTCTTCTTGTATAAAAAGTGTTAGTCAACAAGAACAGTTTGTTAAAATTTATTAATAAAGGTGAATTTTTATTATCAAACTGTGATAACTTTGCGAACTTGA